TCCAATATCAAATACTTCCTGAATATATCGTTCTGAGAAAACCAAAGTAAAGAGATCCCATATATTTTGAAAATGTTCCCCATACAAACTCTCCTGAATGAGGAGAGGGAGGTTTTGGTAATGGGCCATAATAATCAACCAAATTGTGTATCGACAAAATGAAATAAAACAAACAAACAAACAAACAAACAACCTCCCCCCAAAAAACTCTCCTGAACAAAAGCACTAACCCTAAGGAATGTAAAGAATCCTTTCCGAGGGTCCAGTAGGAAGAGAAAGACATATATACAAATTATTCAAATGTAACTACAAAGTTGAGAAGTGCCAGTCAAGAACCTTTTATTAGCATTTTAGGGTCAACCTAAGTAGCTGAGGTGGGAAATGGGGGTAGATGGGGATGGAGAGCAGAGAAAACTATGCAAATTTTTACCAGAGAGGATTTTATGATTTAAACATATGGAAGCAAGACCAGCATGGCCCAAATGTTCACCTCCTTCAGGTCTTTTCTAAAACATCACTTTCTTAGAAGACTTTCCCAACCACCCTATTTGAAAATTGTACTCCCCTCCCCACAGTCCCTTATTCCAAACCCCCTTGCTTTTTTCCACCCCACCTCCCCAACAGCACTATCCCTCCAGGTAAGGGACTTTATCTATTTTGTTTGCTGCTGTATCACCAATGTCTGTGACCTAATGCAGCAGTCAAAGAGAGGAAAGGCCGGACAAGCATTCCAGTTAAGAACCACATGGTATGTTTAGGGCAAAGCTGGTAACCAAGAGGATGGAAAGACAAAGTGAAATGATAGAAGATCCTGAATATCAAATTAAGGCATTTCTAATATTCATATGCAATGAGAGGAGGAGAGCTCATTTCTTCCAATCCAGGTGACCTTTTTAAAAAAAAAAACTATTTTGGTGAATATAACAAATTAATTCAACTTTATCCCTATGGGTCACAGTGTAAAACATTAATGGAGTTTCCTACTTTCTGCCACAGCAAAATATTAACTATGGTTAACAGTTCACTACATAGATCATTAAAATAAATCACTAATATTCTTTCTAACTTCAGCAGGACCTAATTAATGATATGTTATGTATATATTATACGTACTGCCTTCACTTCTCCAAAAGAACTTGAATATTCTACCATGTTTTTCCTGGTAAGCCAATAAGAATAAACTGACTACCACAAAAAACCCCCAAAAAACAAAAAAGCCCACAATTCAGTGCTCTTTCTTTCTTT